TTTAATGTTCTTTTAACTAAAAGAGTAATGGAAGAAGTGAAGGAAAAAAAAGTAAAGAAACATCACTCATTGTCGTGCATATTTTATTTTTTCATTCATCGCACAAAAAATAATGCGATCTATCATTGCCTTGCTTTTCATCATATTTCTTTCATCTGTAAAAGGTTTGTTAGACTATCTTTTTCCACTGGACTCTATCATAATATAAAATGAATTCTATAGGTCAAACTACACAACCACCTAATTATTCTTGTAGTGAAAATGATACTTCTATACAATTTACATTGTCTTCATCATCTCATTCAGCTTCAAATCCAACATCAAGTTGTTCTTTACAACAATGTAATACAAGCTTGAATGGTAACAATAATTGTCTTTCATCATCAACACCTTGTTTTGATTATCGAACAATAAATAATATTAGTTATTGTGCACCTGGTATTTTATGTTCAATATTAGACAGATGTGATAATATTACACAAACATGCTCATCAAATAGCTCAGTGTGCGTTATTAATTCATGTTGTTCATCATGAGCAGTATGTTTACCATTGTTAACAACACAAATGTGTAAAACAGGTACTAATACATATTATTTACATTTCAAACTTCATCACACTCAATTAGAACAATTCATTTTAGTCATAGTTATGAATAAAGTATCATTCATTTGTATAAAACCTCTGTCGAATGATATTTTTCTTGCAGTGTAGAGTAATGTGATACATCGACTGATATAGATTTGTGATATCCATTGTTAGTTAACTATAAAAGCGAAAGAGAGATGAAAAACTGAACTGTGTTGAAGTGTTCTGTTTAGTTAGTGAATGACACATTAATGCAGGTTCATATATGATTTAGTTGGTAGAATAAGGGATTACATTTTTATAATAATTCGATATTGTTTGTTTTTTGTGTTTGAGCTGAAATATTTTGTAGAACGAACTTTTATGTTTACATTTGGTGGATTAAATAACAAAATAATATAAATGAGTAGATCGAAGTATAAAAATCGGTATGATAGGTTATCTCAAGTAAAATTTATCATTCCTTAGTTTCATATTTTTATTTATTGATCTTTTTTCTGTTGCAGTTATCGTTTTAATAATATTAATTTATAGTTGTGTTAGATGTAGTCTAAGAGACACTGTTGACCATCAATATTAAACTTATTGTAAAATAGATGAGTCATCCTAGATGAAATTTAGAAACAAATTGTATGTGAAGATGAATCATTTCTGATAGAGAATCTAAGATTATTATTCTATAATCACGAACTATCTCATTTATCTTGTCTTGATTAATCATATGATCGAATGAACTATACAATCAGACATTAAATACTATCTTTATCTTTGAATGAACCTTTTATCTTATCTTTAGAATATTTGTAAAGGTTTTTTTTGTAAGGTAGTGTTCATTATATAAAAGGATGTGAATGGTACATTGATGAAAAACTGTTGTTGTGCTAATAAATTTAAGTAGAGTATTTGATTAGATATGAAATATGACTAAGAATAGAATCAAAAAGAACTAAACAGGTGAACTTGTGTAAACTAATGGAGAACTAACAATGATTTGATAGTGAATTATCAGAGACTTTGAGATTAATCACTCGATTTCTCATTAGTTCATGATTTATATCAGTTCCAGTGATGCATCCTATATTGGTCTTTTCATACCTATTATATTGATAATAGTACAAAGAAATGTAGTGAATAATTCACTATTTTGATAATGATATCCAGAGAACTATGATAGAGTTGATGAGAAATTCATAATTTTCATCCTATCGAATATCTTTCGAGCATAGTTTTCAAAATTTTTAGTGAATCGAAAAACATATGAGTTAGTGTAATTGTCATAGTAGGCAATTTGAGACAATTGTGCTCTATATATTTGTTTGAGATAACAGAGGAAATAGAAAATATAGAAAAGTGAAGATGTCATAATGATATGTGAATAGAATTTGTACAATACATTTAACTACTATTCATAGTCGGTGCAAGTTTCAGATGATTTAAAGTAAGCATATCAAAGACTGTCGTTTTTAGAATAATGAAAAATTCTGTGTACAAGAGTAGTGAGTGTTGATTGTTTGATTATCTAATGTTGTATTGTCTGAATATATAAAAATGTAACTTCTAGGATGGTTTCTTACTAGCAATATGAGTGATGCACGATATCTTCATACAGCTTCTGTTTTATCAAATGGAAAAGTATTAGTTACTGCTGGCTCCTACGGGCTTCCTACTAATTTAAATAGTGCTGAGTTGTATGATCCATCAACAGGCACTTGGACAAATACTGGTAGCATGAATAATGCACGAGTTTCTCACACAGGATCTGTCTTATCAAATGGAAAAGTATTAGTTACTGGTGGATATAGTAATGGTATTAATTTAAATAGTGCTGAACTGTATGATCCATCAACAGGTATTTGGACAAGTACTGGTAACATGACTATTGCACGAAATTCTCACACAGCATCTGTATTATCGAATGGAAAAGTATTAGTTACTGGTG